TCTTGCGCCTGGACCTGAAAAGGATCTGGACCGTCGAACAGCTGTTGGCGAGCTTGCGCCGGCGCGGAAGTACCACGCTGGCTCGTTGAGAGACATACAACGTGTCAAGATTCGAGTCGGATTCGATCCCATGGGCTTTGAATCTGCACTTTGACATTGCCAGTTGTGGCGAGGGTCTGTGGCTGTGGGTACCCGCTGCATAATCGTTGATGGTTGACGTGTTGCCGCCGTCTTTTTCGATGGACGCAACATGTCGACGAACAAGATGGATGGACGGGCGCTAAGATGCGTGACGCGCTTCCAAGCAGCATCCACAGTGCTGCATTTGTAGTAGGAGGCAGGCTTCGGGGGTAGGCGTAGCGTCCAGTCGCACACACGCTGCTCGTTGATCATCGGAAGCATCTGCCGCACTGCCCAAAAGACTGCTGCGTGTGATTCACGTAACATGCTTGGCCAGTTTAGCTACAAGCGCCAGCTTTGGAGCTGTAGGTCGAACCCGGTCCATGCGTGCTCGACACTAAAGGGACGATTCATGTAGGATGCGGTGTCATGCGGTATACGACATCATTTGAATTGCATTTCGAGCTTGGATGAATCTAGTCGTCCGTCGCGTTGTCTAGTCGCGGTGGAATAGACAACGTGTTGACAACCACGGATGCTTGTGCTTGCGGGCCATCGGTGACGGTTGGGACGACGATAAAGCCAGGCAACGAGCACACGCTGTGGTGATGCCCTCTCAATCGTTTCCGCAAAAGCCAAGTATTCCGATTTACCAACGGCCGTAAAATGCACTACTCTGGTTTGGTGCGCTGCACACCAGCTACCAACGACACCAGTAGTTGCATGGCGTGGTGACGCCCGCGGTGGAATTCAAACTCAATGCGAGGGGAGAGCCGTCTCCCGGAAAGCAGGCAGTTGTATAGAGTTACTCCGCAGAGCAAAAGATAAAGTGAGAAGGTGAGCTTCAGCGTGGGCACTTAAAGAGGCGCCGATAGCCGAGGCGTCGCTCCTGGACAATTATATCTTCCAGCTAGTCACCCCATCCCCTAACGGCTTCTCCAGCCATCAACGACCAATAAGGTCGTGTTCTGGCTTGCGTTGGGTGGAGCAAGTGTCGTCCCAGTCGTCCAGACACAACAATGGGCAACGAATTTATCTATTAGTCCATCCATCGAAAGACGAGTTATCTCAGCTAGCAGCGGCTACAAGCGGCGATCGATCAGTAGCGGTGTCCTGTGGTGCATGTGTCATCAACGACCCCGCTTTCGTCACGCACGAGCCGCACGCAGGGTTGTAGCAGCTAGAATAGAGCCTGTCTGTCGACGGTAGTGATTCGGAGCCTGCTGACCTTGCGGTTATTAAACTAGTTTGGCCTCCAAAACCTCGTCACCATCCTTGAATTGGTTGTCCCTCGTACCGTCGTCCATCACCCGATACGGTGTTGTTTTCTAGCCATCCCAACCTACACGTACACTTGGCGATGGCCAGTGTACTAGTATCACATAACCTCGACGCAGGTTGCAGTGCACGAGGTCAAAGTCTGCTCACGAAGGTCGGGTGTTCATGCTCGGTCATCGCTCGCCGCAGTGCTCATGATATGACTAGCAAACCGTACGTTTGTCCATCACAGAATTGAAAGCTCCGGCAAGCACCCCCTCTTTTCTCCAGTAACACGACGTCTGGCAGCGATGGGTGGATGATGCAGCCAATATGGGCATCCATCAGTCTCTATGTATTGGCATAGTGTAGCGCAAGGCGACTAGCTGCCGCACGCTACCTTTCGCGGGTGCGAATTCAACGTTGGTCGTTGCATTGGCGTCGAAACGAGACGAACAATGCACGTACCACCGTCTGTATGGTATACAAAAATCAGGCTCCAGCGATCGGGTTGTATTAGCATTCTTTGCATTGGGAATGGCGAGGGTCGTGCTGACGTCGCCGCCGCTCGTGGGCGTCATCTTTGGCTACCAATTTGGCGTCTACGAGGACGTCCGATATTGGTTTCTCATGACAGCGTCCTTGCAGATATCGCCCGAGGACGAGTACGACATGCGGTAGCACCTTACCCTCGTCGACTGCCACTTGGCACGCACCTTGGTGTACTCCCGCGCGACTTGGGTTTGGACTGCAAGGCGTCGCATGACGTTCGCCTTCCGTTGCACGTGGTGATCTACAGCGGTGACAAGACAGCGACGCGGCGCATTCTGGCTTGCCGCCCGGACCTCGCGTCCGCCGAAGCCGTCGTCCTCGCCTCCCACTGCGCTCGCTTCGAGGTTGCCGCGTACCTCATGGAGGCTGCCTCTCGTCCAGCTTTTGCACCGCGATGGCTACGTGTGCTCGTCCAACGCCATCCGGGCTGCCATTGGTCGCGGCCACCTCGACGGTATCCGCTTTCTCTTTGAGCACGGGGTCGCGCCACCGCGCAACTCGATTGAAAGAGCCGTCGGCGACAACCAGCGGGATATTTTGGCGTACCTTCTCACTCTGGCCGACGCCGACGTGGATGTTGATGCCGCACTCGCGACAGCGCTACATCACATACTGCTTTGCGGTAGCAATGTGGCGATCGTCGACATGCTCTTAGCGTCCGGTCGCACGTCGGTACCTCCTGGTGCTGTCCTCGCGGCGCTACAGAAGAGACACCTCAACTTGGCGCGCTGCCTCCTCTCGCACGGCGGCCTCCTCGACGTTGCCTCCGTTGACGCCAAGTTTTTTGGCCTCTTCGCCAACGACATCGCACCACTTCTCGACCTCTTGCGCGAGTTTGGTATCGACCTTCCGACTTCTGCCAAGTCACCGTGCGCCGTTTCGGATTCCTCACGTTAGTCGCCTGCAGCCCGTCGTCCAGCGGCCCTCTTACTCGCCAGTCACACGGCGCTAGCGGCATCGTAGCAACACGCTTCGTCTCAAGATTCAATCCCAATATCTACTGGGATAAAACGCTGCCTTGATTTTGTAAACCGTGTTGGAGTTGAAACCGCTGTTTGTGATGGGCAAAAACAGTGTTTCAGACGCACCCGCCACTGCAACCTGAAACTGCAACTTGGAAAAAAAAGAGTCTGTCAATAAGAAAGAGCAAGATTGCAACACACACTGTATATGAAAAGGAAACAAACGACTGGTATCGACATGCATCGCCGGTCCCAGGATATTAAACGAGCGGCTTGTCGGCCGCCGCGTGCGCGTGCGCGTGCTTGGCGGCGTGGGCCTCGCCCTTGCGCTCCAAGAAGGCGTGCCACACTTCGCGACCGCCCTTCTTGAGGTACCAAAAGTAAAAGCCCGCAATACTCAGCACGACGCCGGCGACGATGATGATGCCAAAGACGAGGCCGACCGTGCCGGCCTTGAAGAGGTACGTCAAGGCGAGCGCGATGCCCGGCACGATCAGAAAGAGCAACACGAGGAAGAGACCCGCGACCACGGGCCAGCGCGCGCTGTAGAACGCGAGGCGGCGCGCCCAGTCGAGGATCGGCTTGCGCGTGATCGGGATCGGGTAAAAGAGGAAGATGCCCCAGATGTTGAACCAAAAGTGCACGAGGGCAATCGCGACCGCGTCCGGCGACCCGGTCACCCACGAGGCCAGCAGCGCCGTGACCGTCGTGCCGAGGTTGGCGCCAATCACGATCGGGTAGACCTGCTCGAGCGTGATGAGCCCGAGGCCGGCCATCGGCGTCAAGGTCGAGGTGACCACCGTCGACGAGTGCACGCAGAACGTGATGAGCGTGCCGAGGAAGATGTTGACGTAGCCGTTAAAGTCGAGCGCCTTGCGGATCGTCTTTTGCGCCGAGCCGCGGAAGAGCTTCTGGAGCATGTACACGAGCGAGACGAGCGAGAGCACGAGGAGCGTAAAGCCGATCGCGAGGCAGATGCCACCGATGGCGCCGCCGCTCATCGAGCCGCTCTTGTACGAGTCGAGGAACGCGCCGCCCTTGAGAAACTTGGCCTTCTCGCACGTGACCTTGCCGAGCGAGACCTTTTCAATCATGCTCTTGTCGGCCTTGATGAGGAGCGACGCGAGCGGGTTGACAATGATATCGACAGGCGACTCGAAGTACGCGTTGGCCTTGCCACCCGACATGGACATGGAGAGGAGCTCGAGCGGGTGGAAGAGCAACTCGATCGGGAAGAGGACAATGACCGACCAGATGTTGTACATGTCGTGGACGGTGGCGGCCGCCATCGCGCGCTCAAACTGGTCGCGCTTGCCCATCTGCGCGAACGCCACCATGATGCACGTCACACACGTGCCGACGTTGGCGCCCATGATGATCGGGACGCCCTGGCGCACCGTGAGGCCCTTGGCACCCACAAGCGCGACCGTGATGGACGTGACCGTGCCGGACGAGTGCAGAATGGCGGTCGAGACGACGCCGACCATGAGGCCGGCGATCGGGTTGTCGGCGAACGCAAACGCCGACTTGGCTTCGCAGCCGAGGAGGAGCGAGAACGACTCGCCGATCCACTTGACGGCGACCATGAAAAAGTAGAGCGAGCTCATGGCCAGGACAAAGTAAAAGGTGCCCCAGAGCAGCTTCATGTGCCACGGGAGATTGGCAAACGTCTTGTCTTCTTCTTCGAGGCGGATCTCTTCGTCGGCGTCCGTGTAGTCGGCGGCGTTGGGCGACCGGCCGGCGACGCCAGGCGTCATGACGACGTTGGCCGACTCGGATGGCTGCACACTTTCCTTGGCAGCGACCATGCTTTGGAGATCGAAGCAAATGCAAGAATGAGCTCGAGACAAAAGTGCAATCTCAATCAAAAACACTGCTCTTGCGCCTGGCCTGAAAAGGAATCTGGACCGTCGAACAGCTGTTGGCGAGCTTGCGCCGGCGCGGAAGTACCACGCTGGCTCGTTGAGAGACATACAACGTGTCAAGATTCGAGTCGGATTCGATCCCATGGGCTTTGAATCTGCACTTTGACATTGCCAGTTGTGGGTGCCTAGGAAGACGTAGCGACGCTGCGAACGGTACAGTTTGGGCTCGTAGCGGGTGCTTCAACCAAGCTCCCGTTTCTTGAAGGTTGACGTTCGTCTGTCCATTCCAATGGCCGCGAAGCGTATACAAACAAGAGGGATGGCCCTTACGTGCGGTCCCAGGACTCGGTGGCGCCGGCAGCATGTACAGGTGCGGTAGCTGGTGCAGCCAAACGATCTTGACCATCGTGGCTCACCGCATACAGATATTCGCGACGGCCGGTCGCCTGTTTTTAAAAGGCAGGTCGGCGAATCGTCCCAATCTCTTTGACGACTCCTGCATGGGTCCAGTCAACGCCATACTCTCGATGCGAGAGGTGGCGTGGACGGGTGAAGAGGACGCTACACACAGCAAAGATCGTTTGCGTCTAAGGTGCGGTACGCATTGAATTGCGGTATAACGTTATAGTGATTCGAGTCTACTCGAGCTTGGACCGGCGGCGGCGGAC